GAAATTCCTCTTTTTGTGTGTGGGGTAGCGGAGTCATGTTAGCCTCACTCTCCCTAAAATCTCCTGTTTTTAGCCATGTGTAGAAGGGACAAAATGTTGCGAGAAATAGTCTGTAAGCTCTTTCAGGCAGGGACCATCTTTGTGTTGTGTGGCTGTACAGGTCCTGGTCCTTGAGTGGACCCCCTAGGTACTACTGCAGTGTACAAGTAATAAATAACTGGCCTGGTTTTGCAGGCCCAAGTGGTTCAGAGCAGCCTCCAAACTTTGGGATGTTTCTCTGAACTGAACCACCAGCAGTTTGTCTATGGCCAGCCACCGCACACTGGGTGTCCACCTGAGAAGACAGGATAGTCAATATTCTAAGCCAGATCTTCAGTTAGTAGGAATCTGTGACTGGGTTTAACTGGGTTTTTCTTAGATGCTATCCTCTTCTTCTGCCCTTGCCCATTCTGCCCTCTAAGCATAGGGCCAGATTCTCAGCTGATGTTAATCAGCATAACCACACTGAAGTCAACCACTGATTTGCACCAGTTTAAGAGTTGACCTGACCTGATGCTGGGAGGAGTAGGGAGGCCTGGGGAATGGGGAGAGGTAAGGACAAGAGGGAAGGGTAATATCTAAGAAAGTCAAAATTAAACTCCTGCTCCATTGCAGAATTTTAAATAAGATGTCCTGTGAGCACAGAATAACCAGATAACCAGAACTAACTGCAAGTCTATTTGTACAATGCCTAGCACAATGGGGTCCTGCCCAAAGATGGGGGTTTCTAGGTACTTCCACAATACAAATAATACAGACATTTCTTAATAATAATAACTATAATTTCTATTATATTAAATAGTTACTATAATAGTGACAGTAACTCCACTGTGGCTTTCTTTTTTTTATCATCATCAGGGTTGGAAGGGCCGTCAGGAGATCATCTAATCTAACCCCCTGCTCAAAGCAGGACCAATCCCTAGACAGATTTTTACCCCAGTTCCCTAAGTGGCCCCCTCAAGGATTGAACTCACAACCCCAGGTTTAGAAGGCCAATGCACAAACCACTGAGCTATTCCTCCCCCAATTGTGTATCACTATTTTTCTTTCCTAACGAACAGCAGCTGATCAGACATTCCTCACTGGAGATAGCCCGTTGTTCACTGCAAGCAGCACAAGTGAAGCAAAGCCATTCAACCGCTCACTCACTGTGACTCAGAGTAACTCCCATCACCGCCAAACGGAGTTCTCAGTGACATGCTGATAATAAGCCTCAGCCACCAGATTCTGGCACCCTCAGACACCCTGAGTACCCCTCACTCCACCGAGATCAATAGGTTTATTCAGGGAGAATGGTACTACTTGATGTAAGGACATTGAAAACTGCTCCTGGGTCCCTATGAGGATGCAGAAAAAGACCAAGGCACCTTGTTTTGGGGTGGAGAAATAATAGCTGACTTTCCCCCCTCCTCTCACGTGATGGAGCTAGGGATTTTTAAGGACTGACAGGTGTAACCATTCCCCAGCAACCCCTCAGTTGCAATACTTCTACCTCTAACACAATGCTTCCCTAAACAACTGCCTGTTCTTATATGGTAGAACCATCCCTGGCTTCTGCCTCAGCCAGACTTCTGAAGTCAAATGCTACCATCTTTCCCTGAACTTTCTTTCAATACCCAAAGAATGACTAGAAACTCCCAGCCCAGCCACCCAGGCCTGAAGAGAAAAAACACCCCTCCCAGCAGCACCCTGAAAATCCATGTAATATTCCTGCGCTAAGAATCCCTCAGAACTGAGCCCCAATTCCAGCCAGGAGACAAGATCATCTCATGTTAAAGGAGTGGACGTCAGAGTCTCTCACCAGTTAGCCTCTGCTGTCCGGCTGCTGGTCACACTCTCCTCCTTCCTGCAGTATTCAACTAAATCTAATCTGGATTTAAACTAGTCACTACCTGTAGCCTTCTTAATCCCAGGATGGGTTCAGACCAGGAGATCTGTGCATTATGGGAAATGTAGTTCTGACGGCTCTGCCTCTCCTGCTGCATTTTACAAGGCTGGAGGGTGAGTTGCTTTATCCACAATGCCATGTGCATGACCACTGAATAAAGCAACAATCAGGTCCATCTCTGTTTTTAAATGGCTTGGAGAAATGGAGCACTCGGATTGGCCACTATGGTTTTCCAACAAAGACAGTATCTGCTGTAACAGATCACTCATTGGCCTAATCTCCCAATTACTATTCATGCCCTGTAGCACCTGCAAAGAGCAACAGCCATTCACCGCTCATGTGGCATCCTTTCTTGGGGAGTATCAGAGGGGTAGCCGTGTTAGTCTGAATCTGTAAAAAGCAACAGAGGATCCTGTGGCACCTTTAAGACTAACAGAAGTATTGGAGCATAAGCTTTCGTGGGTGAATGCCCACGCAAGGCATTGCGTCTGATGAAGTGGGCATTCACTCACGAAAGCTTATGCTCCAATACTTCTGTTAGTCTTAAAGGTGCCACAGGACCCTCTGTTGCTTTCTTGGGGAGAGTTGCCTTTGTTGCTCTCCTCCCACCCCCCTTTTAAAAATAAGATATAACCGGCTCTTGTGAATTCACTAGTGTTTGTTTTTATTTAGTATCTTTATAAGGCAGCTACTGGGTAACATCTGAACACTCTATGATAAAGTCAGACATATTATTCAAATCAGATCTACCAGCTTGAATAGATCACCAGCCAGAAGCAAAGGATCCAGGACAGGGGAACCCAGGGTCCCACAGGCAAATGCAAGGAAACAGTTCCCAAGTGATAGCAAAAAATTAAGGAAGATGGGTTATATATTAATCAGTGTAGAGAGCCCAAAATACAGCTTCCAAAACACATGGCCTTACAGCGTGTTCTGAAAGCAGCCAGCAGAAAGTATGTCAGCCAGAGAATAGGGTGAGCCTGATCACATGATTGGAACTTGCAGGTCAGTAAGTGAAACCCTGGGAGAGACACTGTTCAAACTCACTGCAGCAAAGAAGAAATGGCTACTTAGATGGAATCAGACTAGGGAAGGCTGGATGGGTGACTGATAACTAGGTCATATGTAGCCCAAGCTTGAAATGCCCAAAGTTTTTACCATCTGGCTGCTGCTGGTCAGTGGCCTATGTAAAATGAACCTGGCAGGTATGAGTGCAGTTCCTACTGGGTGGGTGTAGAGGTCACAAAACCACCATCATAGGTGGCATGAGTTGGCAACCTCATCTGGTGCCCAACCAGAGGCCAGCTATTGAATGGTCATGGAGCCTGAACTATGCCTGAGACCCTTTGGCTGTGCAGTGTGGGGAAGCTTATGTTGTCATTACTCTTGCTGCATGTGTTCTGTGGATAAATAGACTATCTGACACTTTCCACTGGATGCTTTTTGAAATGATTAAAGCAATTTACTACCCAGCTAGGTGCAGCAGGGTCAGCAAGAGAAGATGATGTTCCCTTATTTCAGAAGGAAACCAGGGAGCACCAATGGGAATCCAGATCTGCAAACCTGACACAGGAAGTGGGAAGAAAGTGCTGAGAAGCACTACTAGGGAAAGGGCTGTTTAGGGGCAATTAGCCCATTGAATTGGCTACAATCCTTGGACTACATTACTAACCGCATAGATGGAGAGGAACCAGATCTCCGGGCTCCATGGGATACTGCACACCTATGCACCAGACTTGTTCACAATGCATTTAAAGCACAGGAGGATG